GGGTTATACAGGAGACACATGGCCATGAGATAGGTGTTGTTAGGTGTTAGAGATGGAAGGATGAATAGCAGGGCACCTGCTCTCAAGTTTCTCACTATCTAGGAGACAGAAACAAAAATCAGAAAACTTAGATTTCTATGAGATAAGGGCTTTATGAACAGTTTTTGGTGGGGGCGGTACAGAGGGAAAAGTAACTTTGCCCCGTGGAGTTGCCAAAGTGTTAGCAGTTGAAGTAATATTAGAGCTGGGTTTAAAAGGCAGAAAAGAAGGGTCAGGGGAAAAGGGGTGTAGTGATAGCAGAGAGAGGCCAGGAAATTCCGGAAAAAGAAATGGCATATGCAAAGGGCCAAAGAGTTTGAAGATACTGAGAAGTTCATCGTGTCTGAAGAATATAGTGTGAGGTGGGGAGGGAGGTAGAATGATAGATGAAGCCAAAGGGGAACATGTTGGTTTTTGGAGGGTCTCGTTTCATATGCTATGCTGAAGAGTTCAGACTGTATTTAATATGGAAAGGATTTTAAGGAGAGAAATGACAAGGTCAGGGCCTTTATTTGTATTTATTTTTTAGGTGAAACTCTACCACCAGTAGGGCAGGCAGATACAGCTCATTAAGATGAAAGAATATAATCTTACTAGTAGTAGATCACAAACATGTTTCAGTGCATACTGAATTAGGAGGAACAATCCAAACCTTTCTAACTGTGCGAACTTGGACAAGTTATTTTATCTCTGTGCTTTAGTTTCCTCATCAAGTTCCTCATCTGTAAAATGGAGAATGATAATAGTACCCACAGGTTGTCTTCAGGTTAAAAGTGTTAATAGAATACTGCCTAGTACATAGTAGGCACTACACGTGTTACCTGTCATTTCCTTTTCTACTCTCTCTCTCTGCCTTGACCTCAGAGTCCCAAGCTACACCTTGCCACATTTGTTGTAGGCTGGGAATAAATGCCCACTCAAGGGCTTCACTGTTGCTAACTTTGGCGTGTTATTATGCTAAGTGGGTCCCTTCTCATGATATGTAAACATGAGAAGGAATCCATGCACTGGTTTCTGCCTCAATAGGTAATTGGAATAGAATGAGGAGCCTAGCGTCAGGAAAACTAATTATAGTAATTAATCTGAAAGAGAATGAGAACAGAGGACTGTGGGAATAGAGAGGAGGCTGTGATCAGTAAGATATTCTGAGATAAAATCAATAAGATATTGTGCTCAACTGAATGAGGGAGCTGAGGAAGTGAGGACTGTAATTTAACATGTATGTAAGCAAAGTGAATAGATCTTTTAATTCCACTGTGTCAACTACTTTGGTTTAAAAAATCTGTCCACATTTCAATTGACTTATTTGTTCCATCAGTAGCTCTATTTAGATAAAAACAACTGGTATGATCTCCACTCACTATTAGAATTTTTATTTAAAAAAATTTTAAGGACATGTGGCCTTTTGTTTTATTTTTCAATTTATTTTTATTTTTGGCTGCATTGGGTCCTTGTTGTTGCATGCGGGCTTTCTCTAGTTGCAGTGAGCAGGAGCTACTCTTCATTGCAGTGCGTGGGCTTCATTGCAGTGGCTTCTCTTGCTGTGGAGCACAGGCTCCAGGTGAGCAGGCTTCAGTAGTTGTGGTGCGTGGGCTTGGTATTTGTGGCTCACAGGCTCTAGAGTACAGGCTCAGTAGTTATGGTCTATGAGTAGCCTTTTTAAAAAATGGAAGTATAGTTGATTAACAATAGTATATCAGTTTCAGGTGTACTACATAGTGAGTCAATAGTTTTATAGATTATACTCTATTTAAAGTCATTACAAAATAATGGCTATATTTCCCTGTGCCGCACAATATATCCTTGTTGCTTATCTATTTTAGATTGATACATAGTTTGTATCTCCTATATCCCTATCTTGCCCCTCCCCCCATCCCTTTCCCCACTGGTGACCACTAGTTTGTCTTCTATATCTGTGAGCCTGTTTGTCTTTCATTATATTGTTCATTTCTTTCTCTGGCTTATTTCACTACACATAATACCCTCTAGGTCCATCCACATTGTTGCAAGTGACAGAATTTCATTTTTTTTATGGCCGAGTAATATTTCATTGTGTATATATGTACCACATCTTCTTTGTCCTTTCATCTGTTGATGGACATTTAGGTTGCTTCCATGTCTTGGCTATTGTAAATAATGCTGCTATGAATACTGGGATGCATGCATCTTTTTGAATTAGTGTTTTCATTTTCTTTGGATATATACCCAGCAGTGGAATTGCTGGATCATATGGTAGTTCTATTTTTAGTTTCTTGAGGAACCTCCATACTGTTTTCCATAGTGGCTGCATCAATTTACAATCCTAGTAACAATGTACTGGAGTTTGCTTTTCTCCACATCCTCACCAACATTTGTTATTTGTAGACCTTTTGATGATAGCTATGCTGACTGGTGTGAGGAGACATCTCGTTGTTTTGATGTGCATTTCTCTGATGATTAGCAATGGTGAGCATTTTTTTCATATGCCTGTTGGCCATTTGTATATCCTCTTTGGAAAAATATCTATTCTGGTCTTCTGCCCGTATTTAAATTGGGTTTCTTTTTGATACTGAGCTGTATGACCTGTTTATGTATTTTGGATATTAACCTCTTGTTGGTCATATTACTTGTAAATATTTTCTCCCATTCCATGGGTTATCTTTTCATTTTGTCAATGGTTTCCTTTGATGTGCAGAAGCTTTCTCATTTGATGTCTCATTTGTTTGTTTGCTTTTGTTTTTCTTGCCTGAGGAGACAGATCCAAAGAAATATTGCTAAGACTGATGTCGAAGAGTGTATTACCTATGTTGTCTTCTAACAGTTTTATATTTTCAGGTCTTACATTTAAGTCCTTAATCCATTTTTAGTTTATTTTTGTATATGGTGTGAGAAAGCAGTCCAGTTTTCCCAACATCATTTGTCAGAGGCTCTCTTTTCCCCATTGTATATTCTTGCCTCTGTTGTTATAGATTAATTAACCATATAAATGTGGATTTACTTCTGGGCTCTCTATTCTGTCCCATCAATCTATGTGTCTGTTTTTGTGCCAGTACCATGCTGTTTTGATTACAGTAGCTTTGTAATATAGTTTGAAATCAGGGAGGGTGACACCTACGGCATTGTTCTTCTTTCTCAAGATTGTTTTGACTATTTGGGGTCTTTTGTGTTTCCATACAATTTTTTGTATTATTTGTTCTGGTTCTGTGAAAAATGCTATTATTGGTGGTTTGAAAGGGACTGCACCTAGAGGGTATTATGCTAAGTGAAATAAGGCAGGCAGGAAATACAAATACTGTTTTAATTCACTTATATGTGGAATCTAAAAAACAAAACAAATGAACAAACAGAAATAGACTTATAGATACAGAGGAAAAACAGGTGTTGCCAGAGAGGAGGAGGAGTGTGGGGAGGATGAGTGAAATCAGTGAGGGAGATTAAGAGGTACAAATTTCCAGTTACAAAATAAATGAGTCACGGGGATGAGATGTACAGCATGGGGAATATAGTCAATATTTTAATAATTTTGTATGGTGACAGATGGTAACTAGACTTATCGTGGTGATCATTTTGTAATCTATAGAAATACTGAATCACATATTGTGTACCTGGAGCTAACATAGTGTTGAATGTCAATTATACTTTAATTAGAAAATAATAAAAATAAGTGAAAATAAGAGAAAAATGCTATGTTGATAACATGAAGAGTAATAGTATCTAATATATATTAGAATGTGAATAGAAAACTAAGAGCTATTATTTCATCTTTTCAAGCTCTACAGATCTTTTGCTGAATTAGTATAGTCTTGAGATTTTTTCCCACACATGAAAAATTTGAATAGAACAATTCACTAATGCTTCTCGAGTAGAAAGTTGTCCATCTCTAAAGAATATTTCTTTTAGGGGTCAACTGTCTCATTGACAGGAAGAGGATTTACACATGCAAGTCCTATTAACATTAATAGGTGTTACCAGCATAAATCTCCCTGTAGTGATAGGTGAAAAGACCCTCTAGTCTACTAGGATTCAAGTTCTAATGACCTGTCAAATGGTCCTAAGAGTCATCATCACTAGAAAGAGCAGATGTGGCAACCTGTATGGGAAGGGCATCTCATTGCAGCCCCACAGCTAAACTACGTTAATAGAAAGAAAAGTGGCCTTCAAAGTGTGACCTGGGATGTTGTGTTAAACCTCTTGCATTTTTAAAAAGCCACCATTAAAGAAGAGAATTGAAACATATCAAAACACTTGTTTAAGAAAAAAAAAGTGTGAATACTCTTATGAACTCCAAGGTGCTTGAAGGATAATACAGCTACTTGTTTAAAAATTCAATTAACCTTATCTTTCTTAAACTTGATTCATTAATAATCTCACAGATAAATTGCCAGTTTTGAAATAATGATGTTACCTTTTGAATACGTCCTGTCTGGGAAGGTTTAAAAATGACTTGGAATTGACAGAAAATGTCACTCTTCTTTAATTATTTGATTCAAGAACAAATCATAGTTCAGTGAATGATTTCTGCATGAAAAGAACATCAGCAGTCTCTTATCTGTTGCAAGTAAGCTGTTGGGGACTCAACGACCACAAAGACAAACACTTCAGGTTCACACTCAGCAAGTAAATAAGAAAAACGTTTCAGATTCTCATACACTAAGTGAGATGCGAAAACAGTTTGCAGGTAATGTATTGTAAAGCCATATCCCATGCCTCAGAACACTGATTTCAAACAGAATGAGATCTGATGCTGGCATCTAGAACAGTTTGCTAAGTAAACATACCCATGTATCATTTGATTGCCTTTTTCACAAACCTGACACAGTTGGCAGATGCCTAGGAATAAAACCAAGTATACAGCTGGACAATTAACTAAGAATTTAAGTAATAGACCAGTATCAACAAATAAATCAGTTCCAAGACAATTTTTAATTTCTTGGCATATATACAAAATTTTAATATTAAAAAATAGGATACCACGCCTGAAAGGCATTAAAAACAGACTTTATTTCCTCTGAAAACTTACTGTTACAGTGTGCAAATTATGAATAATCATATATTCATGCTTTTGGAAATGCATATAAGAAAAATCAATCAAGAGTTGAGAGAGAAATTATCCAATACCAATAGCAGTAAATAACTTATTTGTAAGAAAACTGCTTTGAAGGATCACTACTATTTAGCAATCAAATTTCAACAAACTTTTTTCAAGGTTTTTAGCACTTTAGACAAAGGGCTGCCTTCTCCAGAACTACAGCTTTGACAGAAGTTAATCATTAGTGTGGCCATTATTTTACACAAAGGGCTGCCCATCTCAGAAATTACTATTCCAAAAGTTAACCATTAACATGACTATTTTCCTATGAGCAGCTAGATATCATAGAAGATGGGGAAATTATAACTCAGTTTTCCTATAGAAAAATATATGTTTATAATATACATATCATATATATCTATCTTTTTCTGGGCAGGCATACCAACTAGACAAAAATACAGTAGCAACATAGGGTTAGTAACCAGTTTTCATGTTGATCACTAAACTGAATGGTATTATCATTTTTGGTTAATAAGAAGCATGCATAACATAAACATTTTAAACACATGAATAAAAATTCTTTGATAATAGCTATTTTCAAAATTTAAAATTAGCTACTGAAATTTCTGCATCACATACAGCATTTATATTTTATTCATATGACTTCAGGCTTATGGTTTTACAACAAAACTAAAAGGTTTTCCTTTAAAGCTATGAAAACAAGTATTTGCAGTAATTAAGATAGCTGAAAAGAATGCTCTTAGAATAATTTCTATTACATTCTGAGGCAACAGGAAATATCTAAAGTTCTCTAACACAAGGTTTTTAACAGTTGTGTATTATCTTAATCATCACTAATCATATTCAGGAGCTTTTAAACATTTCAACAGTATTTAATAAATAACCTGGAAGAGAAATTCCGATGCTGGCTAATGGATGAAATAGGGTACAGTATGGACTGGGCCATGAGACCACAGAATATCTCCTTCATTGTTTTAGAGAGCTGTAGTAAAGCTATCAGTATTTTTCTAGTCATTCTGGGTGTGCCCTGATTGGCTGTTTACATAAGTGTGCATGCTGCATCAAGAGGCCTTAACTCTAAGACTATAACAAAGTACAATATCTTAATTGGTGCAGTTTACTGCAATTGTATTCAGACTCAATACTCTCATACAGTGGAAGCTTTTATATTGCTCATACTGCGGGGCAGAGCCAATACCCGGTGCTTATAGGTATGTATTGTGCATTTAGCGCATGCCGTGGTTGGGTTTCAGGATATATGATTTAAGATGGATCTGAATCCATATAACAAAGTAGGTTATAATGTGATTCTATTGTCCCTGATTTGTATAACATTATAAAAGGGGAAGAAAGGGATAGAGGGGATTAAAGAGATAGGAGAGAGGCTATACAATGGGGAGAAGGATTAGGAGTAGCCTGAGAGGCTGGGAAGATTTTCTACTGGATTCAGCTATATCCGCAGGGGGTTTAAAAGGTGAGGCAAGAGCTACATTCCTGATTTTTTCCATTTCTCGTGAGTCTGTGACCTGACAGAGCTGGTTTCCTTTAAGATCTTCTCTGAAATCTGGAGAGGTCAGAGCCCTGCTGCAGCTGAAGTATGTAAGAACTATGTGCTTTCTACTGTAGCCATGGCTCTCTGATCAGCAAGATAGGCCAGACTGCATGACAACGCACTTTTAATGTATTTATTTATTGAAATAAGTTGTTGGGTCCAAACTATTGCTCAAAAAAGGTAAACCATTAGAGCTTGGCATTTGGAAAGATTTTAATATAGGCACTGTCACTGTAACTAGATTTGCTGCCTATGTACAGCCCTTGTATTTTTATGTTAAGTGCATATTAGGGTTTACCAATTGTCATATTCTATTTAGAGTCCTTGGTTGTTTCAGGTTTACCTACTAGAAGAGGAATATGAAGAGTTTATAGACTGTTTTCCTTATTAAGATTCAAAACCACAATTTCACGTTACTATGTTTACTTTTCTATTAGACTATAAAATACTAATTAAGGAAATAGATTTTTATTTTAAAAGCTTAATGCAATAAGAACACTGTGATCTATTGTGTTGGGGGAGGTGACAGCAAACAGTTATTTGCTGCATGAGATCTTTGATATTCACCCCCAAGACAATGAGAAAATTCTGAAACAACTTTTATTCCAGAAAAAACATTCTAAGGATGGCACTGCATTTATCTTCAATATCATTCTCATACAGTAGACATATGGAGAAACTGAGGCCCAGAAGTTAAACAATTTGCTTAATATCATCGGTGGCATAGCTAGGACTAAATTAGGTCCACAGACAATTAGGCTAGTGCTCCAGACACTCGACTAGACAGAATTTCCAAATACCAATGAGCCTATTCAAATCTTTCCACTTCTTCAGTATTGAGCCTTCCTAGTATGTTCAGGATTCACATACAAATATCACTACTAACATTTAAAAGAAAAAAGCACTGAGTAATGAACTCATGACTTGTTTATAAAAGTGTCTACTTTAATATTAGCATTTTCAATACTCAAGATAGAAAACAAAACAAACCTCTATTTCAAGCATAGGCTCCTGCCTGGATCATGACACTTTAGTTTTTATCAGCTATATTTACGTATGCTTTTATCATTTGTGTCACGATGCTCATACCCATAAAGAAAATAAAACTCAAATAATCAAAGGAAATATGTAAGCAGATTTTGAAGATGTGGTTTTCAAACAAAGATCCAAAGTGGCAAGCAAAAGCTGTCTTAATACCATAGAATTATTAACAATGCATAGGATCACTTTCATAAACATAGCTATATTTCTGGGAATCAATCCATTTATAATTTTTATCTGCTAATTCCACAGGTTTGGTATCTTAAAGCAGGCAAGTCAATGTGCTTTACAAGTGTTTTGTGGTCTTGGAATGTACTTTTTAAGGAAAATTCCCTTTTGGATTTCAATCATCTGTTTCTCTTGGTAATTCTGCATGTCAACTGGCTGCTGCTTTGTAACATTTTTCAAACCTTTCTTCCATCAAGAGGACTCTGAGGCTAGGAGGATTTTCCAAAATGTGCTATTCAGTTTGGTGTATACTCGTTATTCAGAGGGCTCCTCTGAATTTCTCAGATTTGTGCTTTCCCTGGGAGTCTCTGAGTTGGCCTCTGGTATAGCACTGGATTCTGAAGCCTCTGGTTGTAAACTGTCTCCATCAAGGATAATGTCTTCAGGATTTGGTGGGGGTGGACAGAAGTCTTCGTTGGGGCAGATTTGTTGGAAAAGTGCTTCAGCCTGGCCAGGGAAGGAAGGGCACAAGAGTTTTTGAACATTAACGTAAAATGTATGTGCCTTTCTGGAACTATCAAAACAATGAAGTATCACCCTTAAAATTTTAAGTTATAGAACTTTACACAGCACACACAAGCTTCTAAAAACTGCTTTCAGAACTCCATGACTTTTCTCCCTCTAATTTATACATTCATTCAGGCCCACCCTTCAAGTATATCAGTACTTGCTAAGACTCTTTATGAAGTGCTCAGATAGTTGAGATTTTAAGGTCATTCATTCTACATGTCAACAGAAATACAATTTCCCTTAATATCCTTTATATAATTTCCTAATAGAGCCTGTTTGTGATATTTGTACAGTCTAATTTAGCATATACTAAGTTTAACAAGTCATTGTTCAAATCAAGAAAATTCTTCATTGTTTGCTCTACTATCTGCTTTTCTAATTTTCCTCTCCCTGTGCTTTGAGGAATATAACACAGTGTCCAAGACAATGGACACTGAATAGATAACCATGCCCAAATGCTGGCTCTGCCACTTAGCAGCAATGTGATCTGGGGAATGCTTACTCAGCTTCGGAGCCTTGCTCTCCTTGCCTATAGAATGGCAGAGAGTAAAGTAAGCCTCTCTATTTGGTAACTGTAATCATTGCTATTAATAGTAACATAAATTAAAATGTTGAGATTTAAGCTGAGCTTAGTCTGGCAGGGTAAGAGAATAATAAAGTGAATGTGATCTTAATTAACAACAACAAATACACACACATACAAGAACGTAAATGTGGCAAGTAGCACTGCTATTCTATTCTAAACATATTCCTGCTATTATTTAGATGAATACAGTTCTTTGTTAGATAAGGGTCCCTGCCAAGCTAGGGAGCTTGCACTCTAGCCTACTGGTAAAAGAACATCATTAAAGGGTTTTAAACATATGCTTGTTTTGCTTTAAAGGTTACAATGTCTGTCTGTACCACTTCAACCCTTCTTCCCAAAGTACACGCAAAGTCATCCATTAGGTCAGGAGTTGACAACTATGGCCCACATGTCAGATTCAGTCTGCTGCCTGTTTTCATAAGTAAAGCTTTACGGGAACACAGTTACTCTCATTCATTTATCTATGGTCTACGGCTGCTTTTGCACTGCATTGGTGGAGTTGAGTAGTTGCAAAATACATTATATGGGCTGCAAAATAGAAACTATTTGCCATTTGGCCATCTATAGCTGGTAAACTCCTACATCAGGTGAATAAAGCCAGTATCTTTGGGATAGGGTGAAGGGTTGGTTAAGCAGAAACTTTTGAGCTTTGGTGTCGAGTTGAAAGAAGGGACAGGGAGAGAAAAATAGCTTCTTTCCTTCTTAAGTATAGTTCAAAGTTATATTTTTAGACATGCCATTTTATTATGGATATTTTGAAATTAAATATTTGAGATGCCTGCTTTGCTTCCATCCTGGGGTCTTACCATATACATCTTTGCTGGAGACATTTAGTCCCTAGAAGCAGGACTGAGGTCAGACAGAGCCTCTACCTCACACTTTAGTTCCTCTAATGGTCACTGTGTCTGTTATCTCTACCTTATCTGCCTATAGAAGTTCTCCTTCTCCTTTACTCTCTGCATGCAATCAGTCAGCAAATCCTATCAATTTTATCTCTTAGTTCTTGACTCCACCTGTTCCTCCACTAGAGACATAGCCCAGACATGCACCATCTTTCCCCTGGACAACTGCAACATCTCAGAACTGGACTGGTCACTTTGCCTCTAGGGTTCCCCTGTGTAATCCATCTTTATGCTGCCCTTAGAAGGGTCAGTGGAAAATGAAATTCTGTTTATGCCTTTTTTGGGCTTAAAACTCTTCTAACAGGATAAAAATCCAAGATACTTATGGCAAACAACACCCTTCAGGCCTATCTTCTCTGGTCTCATCATCTTCTTCTTCATCCCATCTCTGCCTCTCAGGCCTTTTGCTACACTGTTACCTGTTTATTGGTACTTTCTTAAACATACCATGATGTTTACACCCTGGGCTGGTGCAAATGCTATCAATTTGACTGTCTATCACTTGGATGAAGAATTGCTACTCATCTTTTATATTCTTCCCTGTAAGGTTCTCTGACTCCTAGATACAACTCATGGCTCCTCTATATTACTTTTATACTTTCGATATCATTCTCTTATTGCATATACCACACTGCAATGTCATTTGTTTACACGTTTTTCTCCTTTACCAGACAGTGATTCATCCAGGAATAATGACTGGGTTTTAGTTAACTCTGAATCCTTAGTGCCAGGCATGGAGTAGAATCTCTCTTTCTCTCTCTCTTTTTATATATATATTTTAATATATTTATATATATAATATATATAAATATTATATATATATGGAAGAACTTTAGAAACCATATATTATACAAATGTTGAATATAAATATTGTAACAATTATTATGATTACTATTATTATTACTGTTCCTCTTACTTCTACTCCAATTTGTCTGTATCTCACACCTTGTCTCCCTTTTGCCACCTCCCTGTAGGATAGATTTTCTCCTGAACTCCAGTCCCTGTGGCTAGATCCCACTCGACCTGTTTTTGTATATCCCTGTCATGAACAATGTGTGTCCTAAGACTGCCAAACAATTGCAGGTTGCCGCCCTGCTTTTATTTGTGTTCTACCTGCTTGTGGAAATCCCACCTTCAGCTCACTGCCATTGGCCCTCTCTGATGCCAATTTCCTAAAGCCAGACTCCAGCCTTTCCCAAGTCTCTCCTCTTTCCAACTGCTGGAAACTTTTAGGGTCAACTGCCACTTTCTGGAAGGTCTATCTAATGCTTCTTGGTGAACTTCATTTCATTTGCCAACTAAGCCCCAGTTCTGAGAGTTGTCACCAAGAGGTTGGTTCAGAGTACTTAATTGTCAACTTTTAACCTTCCTTGCTGTTTTAAAGCCAGAAGTTAGCTTAAAGGGTAAAGGCTTTCATGTGGTTAAAATAATTAAAAAGAGCTAATTATATTGTGAATTAGTTTCCTTATATTGGGAAGTACAGAGAGGACACGTTGAGTTATTTAGATATTCCCATGTTTCTTTAACATACATCCACACAAAACAAACAAATATTTTGTCAATCTAGCAGTTTAATGTATTTAGGATGTATCTGCATTAACGAGTTGAAAGTAGCATAGTATACTAGGTGAGTGTACAAGCACTGGAATCCAACAGACTTGAGGTTAAACCTTGGATAAAAAATTTAACAGCTATGTGATCTCTGGAAAAGTTATTTAGCCCCTTTGGGGCTTAGTTTCCTCATCTGTAAAATGGGGATGTCACAGATACTTACCTCATAGGGTTGTTGTGAGAACCAAATACAATAATATATATGAGATGATTAGGACAATGCCTGGCATGTAGAAAATGCTCAATGAATGGAAGCTTCAGAAGATATGAGGCCTAAAATTGCCCTCTCCCTCAATGGCTTGAGAAAGTGAATGCTACTGCACTATGTGAGCAACTTGACAGTTCCTATGACCTATAAAGCTGGTCTTCAACTTACAAATTATGAACCAAAAGTCATAAGCAAGTTGCTGATCTGTCCATATAAACAACATTCTACATGGTGGTTAGACTGCCAGCCCAGTCCACATCAGCCAATATAACCCATTTCATACCTTAAGTATAATACAGAGTACAGTACTATTTAACTATTCTTATTCTCAAGGCAGTGGCAGCTCCTAGGCAATGGGGGTTCCTGAAGAAGGAGGGAGCTATCACTGGCTTGGGAGTATAGACAAGTAGGGACTATAGACCAGTCTGTTCATCAGTACCTGTGGGTAAATGAAACACTCCCTGTATTAAGAAAAGAAATATCTATGTCAGGTTCAGAAAAAAACGGGAGTAACACAAACTACAAAAACTAGCAAGTCACAGAAAGATTCACATAATAGGGAATGTCTTGGTATGCTCCTGCACACAACTTTAACTTGTGAGTAATAAACAGATCAGATTACTTTATATTTTTAATATGTCTTCAAATCATAAATAGCTTCATATGAACACAGAGAGACAGGTCTATGTTATTCAACATCTATACATTTACAAATAAGAAGAGCAGATGCAAACTTGCCAACTAGCAAAATGAAGCATTTTATTTCAAAAAAAATAAAAAGAGAAAGAAAGAAAAATGAAATCTGCAGGTACTTATGTTTCCTACACAGGCAAAGCTTAGGTGATGTTCTGAGGGCTTTTAGAGACAATTTGGAAGACAGAGTCATCAGTTAGTGCTTGGGATGAACACAGCATGACATACTGGAATTAGAACAGAGTTTATCTGAACAAACTGGCTATTTTTATTTTTTATTATTATTTTTTGTGGTACGCGGGCCTCTCATTGCTGTGGTCTCTCCCGTTGCGGAGCACAGGCTCCGGACGCGCAGGCTCAGTGGCCATGGCTCCAGGCCCAGCCGCTCCGCGGCATGTGGGATCCTCCCGGACCGGGGCACGAACCCGTGTCCCCTGCATCGGCAGGCGGACTCTCAACCACTGTGCCACCAGGGAAGCCCTATCTGAATAAACTGGCTATTTTTAAATGTTATTATTGATGCCCTTTAAAGTAGGCATTATAATATTTCTCCCAAAACTGATGTGAGGTTAAAAGCTGTATAACAAATATAAACCTACTTATAATTAACAGTATATAATAATTAGCACCCAAACTAGTATTACTGTTTTCTTCTGTGTGAAAACACTGTACTCAAGTCTATCTTCTTGGGAATCAATATCTCATGATAAAATTATCCTTTAATTTTAATCTTTTAGCTTGCAGTTTAGATCACATTAGCACTTCTATATTAAGTCCTTATTTAAGGCCTTCCATTTTGGTTAAAAAAACATTAAAGTTCACTCAGGAATAAAGTTACCTGGCTGATAACTTGCTGCTAATTTCTTCTTGGAAAAAAATGGACCATCAAAGCAAAAATGACTTGGCCATTTTAAGCCATAAATGTAGATATTGAACCATCCTGAGTTCCTATTAAACTAACAGAATAAATGATGGATGAGAGATGTGACTTTCTATTTTTGTTTGTTATCACTGACTAAATATGATTATCCTGGATCACCACTAGACTCTGAAGATGAGAAACAAAGAATCTGGTAAAAAACTGTAAATGTATAGGTCATAGCCTTGCTGCTATGCCTAAAAATTAAAGGCTCAAAAAGGCCATCTGCTCCTATAAGATCCCTACCACTAGTGGGAATGAAACTTCCATCTGTGGTCTTAGAACAACGTTAAATTATCCATTTATTGTTTCAATAAACAGATGCGCCAACTACATTGGTGAAAAGTTTAGACTTATACCTTAAAAAATGGTATTTTCTGCTCTACTCTTCCTGTCAAGTGCAGAAAAGTGTGTTTGTACATGCATATGAATTTTCAGCTTAGTAGACTCATAATTCACTTTTGGCATTTTGTGTCACCTGCCCTGTACCTATTGATAGCCCTGCCCAGGAGTGCTGTCACAAAATTCCACCTTGATTTAACATACTCCTCAGCAGCTATTATAGTAGCTTTGGGACACCAGCTTGTGTCAAAACATTAAAGGAATCATGTTAATTGTGAAAAACTATATGTTCTTTTCCATGGTAAGAATGTGCCTTAAAAATGTGCCATTTTAAAAATACATTTTGTATGCCTTACTAGTTACACTCCTTTTGAAATGACTCAGGTTTACAGAGGAAAAAGTTTGTGTATTTCAAAATACAATGATAGGCCACCATTTAAATTAGAAGCAATGTTTCTTTAGAATACTGGCATTATAAATTCATTTTTCTAAATATGTATTTCTAACATCTTCTATCTTTATTCCCACAATGGAACTCATAAACAATCTCTTGTAGTTCATCATTATATTCAAGAACGTGAAAATATTTGATATTAAAGTGGCTTTGTTGTTCACCGAGAAAAAGTTTAGGGGCAAATTGCAGAGATGGTATTAAATGAGAGAGATGCTTTTTAAGTTTCTTTTCCCACCTCCTAGAGGAAAAAACAATTCACTTTCCCTACCACACCAACTTCTTAACATAAAACCAAGAAACACCAACAGCCTTACCTGTTTGACTGCATTATCATTTCCTAAAGCACAGTCTGGGCCAGAGCAGACATAAACGTTGGATGGTAAATCATTGTAAGAGTTCCTGCTGACGTCTGAAGAATCTCTCATATTGAAGTAAAGAGCCCACAGAAGTCTTGGCTTTTCAACTTCTTCATTTTCTAAATGTAGATATAAATTTTACTTACATCTAAAGCACAACATGCCTCTCAATTACTACAACATGTAGCCAATTGCTAACAAAGCTACCACTATATATTGTAGTAAATCAGAGCTTTGTATGTAAACTATAGTAAATCTGCATCCACACACTCTAATACATGTGTATGATATTTCAAGCAATGATGGCTTTTCAACCTAAGACAAGTTAGATTTTAAAAATTATTCTGATTAAGTTACTTAGATTTAACTCCAATCATGTTCCCTTGGATTTCTCATCACCAGTATGAAAGCACTTATGATCATATTCATCTTTAAATCATGCCAATGAAGTGAGAAGTTAACATAAATTGATTTTCTTATGTTTCACATGGATAAACCAACTTAAAAAATTATAAAGTGAGTCAATACTATATACAGGATTATGAGATGACCAGAATAGAGAAATCTATAAAGACAGGAAGTAGGGGAATTCCCTGGCGGTCCAGTGGTTAGGACTCAGTGCTTTCACTGCCGAGGCCCAGGTTCAATCCTTGGTTGGGGAACTAAGATCCCACAAACTGCGTGGCATGCCCGCCCCACCCCCCTCAAAAAAAGACAGGAAGTAGATTAGGGTTACCTAGGGCTGTGGGGGAATTGAGGGTAAGTGCAGGTTAATGGCTAATGGGTATGGGGTATGGGTTTCTTTTTGGAGTGATGGAAATATTCTAAAATTGACTGTGGTGATGTTTGAACAATACATTAAAAAACATTGGATTTTATACTTTAAATGGGTGAACTGTATGGTATGTGACTCTCAAGAAAGCTGTTATTAAAAAATAGTATATACAGGATTAAAAATTGGATATCCTAACTCACTAACACTCTGTCCTACTAGATTACAAAAGTAATGCCAACCAACCAACAAATAACAAAAATATGATTATGAGACTGTAAGCTGTTTTCAGTGCACATTCTCTCATTTACAGCAAGCGTCTATTAAGTGTTAGGCATCAGGCTAGGAGCTGGGGATACAAAGATGAAGTAGACTTAGTCCTTATTCTCTTGCTCTTTCATGTTCCCTAATACAGAGCCTAGCACATAACAGATGCTCAATGAATAATTTCTGAACCAATTTTAATTCTGCTTTCAGGTATAATCAAAGCATGATGTGCTTATTAAAAGATCCAGCCCTCTTAATCTCAATACCTAAAGCCTAATCCTTGCTATCTTAATAATTATTTCTATGCCTTTCTTCTTTAGAAATGTTATAATTACATTTTCTTTGGTTGAAAACAGAAAATATTGCTGTTAATATATTTATTGACTACAGTGTTTTCTTAGCCTGAATCTGAAGAAAAATTCAAATTCTGTACAATGATAATAAAGGATGTGCATGATGATTACCCAAGACCATAAGGCACCTTGTGAATCATAAAGAAAATTCTAAAGGTAAAATTATCTAGTTAATTAACTCTTATTGGTAGATTTATAATCAGTGTAGAAAAGTTAGCTAATTGCATTCTTCAGTTAAAAAGAATGTCCCATTCCCCAATTCAGGACAAATAGGTTTTTTATTATACTTAATTTAAAATATCTCCACTACAACAATACCAAATATGTTCTCTTTCTAGCTCATCCTGAATAATCCATAATTATTAATGTGATAGGATGAAGAAACTCTGGATGAAGTGATCCTCTAAGATGCCCCTTTCTAATGCTAAGATCTATGAGTCTAAGGTATCACTAACTTCATGTAAAGCACACAATAGGTGGCAAAACCTACTTACTTACAAAATAAAGGAACATAAGAGACTCATATTTCACAGCTAAAACCATATGGCTCTTAGTAAATTTATTGGTGAGCTTAGTTTCAGTAAATCTTACAGGAAGATGGTTAAACATACTGCCTATCACTTGTGAAACCAGACTCTAGGAGCATTGCAGAAAAGTGAGCTAAGGTCTGGAAGTCCTTTAATATTGCTCATTCCATTTCTAAGCATATACTAAGAGAGCTTATCTTACATTTTATGAAAGTTCCAGCTCAGAGGAGGGCTTTCACTCAATAAAAGTTGGGGGAAATGAATAATTCAATTATAGGAAAGAAATTTCATAGAGGTTGAAGTTTTGAAAAGAAACCAAGAGGAAGATGAAAAGTTGACATAGGCTGAAGATAAATGCTCTAGATACAAGGGAGTTATCGGGCTTTGACCTTAAAACCCTCAAAGAAACAAGTAATTGCTTCATCTTTCTTTGAGGCCAGCTGGAAGGCAGAGAGATAGCTGGAAAAATAACATGCAATTGTGCAGTGCAAAATTGTCAAAAAATTATTAAAGCTGTCGAGGTTTGGTTAGGAATACATCACTTGGTCAGAAATAGAATTGGTTTTCTGTAATAGCTCGTTTCATTCAATTAGATTGTGCAAAGGACTAAACAAGTAACAGGTAATTTAGAATAAAATCTTGGGCGAATTAAACTGGGGCAAGTACAGAATAAAGTAGGCTGAAGAAAATCAACAGTGGCACACCAAATAAAAGCAACAAATAGTCTATAGCTGCATGCCATGTTTAGGGAGAGAGTGAACTATTTTAGCAACATAGCACAGTAGCACAAGACCAAGAGAGTAGGAAGACTGCCACAGCTGTGACCTAGACTGGACACAACAAATAGAAAAAGGAATTAAGATAAGGCATTTTACTTCTCAGCTCAGTAAAAACACCCTCACCAGCCACCTATTTCAAAATGACACCTATAAGGGGAATTCCTGCATTTAGGCAGTGCTGATTTTTTGAGATAGGAACTGAATGAGATAGAATGAGATAATGCCACATGCTGTGCCCAATGGAGGGAAAAAGAGAAAGAAGATGGTGCAGTGATGATATTACACTGCAGACATTTGAAGATATTGTACTAATGAAATTCTTGCTTCAATTTGTACGGAAAAATCTCAATTTCCTGGGTAAAATAAGAAATCTCTTAGGAAAGTTCTACCTGTGCTTTGAAGGATATTATGGAATCTGGAAGAATTAATGCACATATGAATGGTGAGCAATCACCTCATTTTCTCACCTGCAGAATCAGGTTTATTAAGCATAAAGTATCTGAAATTTCCTTGGACTGTGAAGTAGGGAAGAGTTTAGAGATCTCTGATGCTCTTAAAGGAGGCTGGGAAGTAGGGCTCTTAGAAGTATTAGTACAACTGCTTCTTAAGACAGAGCATATGTCACGAGCTCCAGCTGATACCTTAAACATGAACAAGTAAGAAAGAGAGGGAATAGAAGGAATACCTTCACAAGGCTATTGGATTCCTCAGATACAAAGGCAAAAAAGTACTGTGTTTGAGAAGAGAACATTATCTTTTAATACTATAAATAAACTTCATTGCAAAGTGACTAGGCTGACTTTCACAAAAGCTCAGGAAGCACAGCACTACACAGAACATATAAGTCGAATAAAAAGAAAATAAGCTTAAATAATGTTATTCCTCTGGCACACATTTAAAAACAAAATATTTATAAAGCTTTAAATCATAAGGTTTCATATCATTGTCAAATAATTAAAACATAATAGTAAAAGCCATCAATCTGTGAAAATAGGGGCTTTTGCTACAGAGAAGAATGTGCTTTAATGTATTAAAAGTTCATATTACTCATAAAGTTCCTTCTTCCTCATTTAGGCAGGAAAATGAATTGAGTTGTCTTCTCCAGGTGACTTTGCCTCTTTGACCTGCCATGGCCCAGTGCTCACTTTATCTGGTGATTCATTTTCAATAACTCCAACAGTATTTGTTCTGACATTTTAATTAAAATATGACCACTACCTCATCCTGATGATAAAAAGCCTATGTGTCAGTGAAAACTGGCTTTTCAGTGCCTCAGTGCACCTGAGGACCCCTCTGAGCACATAGTTCTTACTAAAGAATTTCACTCAGGTTCTAAACAATACATCATTTCAAAATGGGATCACATTAACCATTAAGATTAATGTTTAAAAATCTAAAATGGCTAGAGGATGCTAAGTAATGAATATGTAATTTACCCATCTTGATTTTTTAAAAAAGAAAATGCATTTAAAAAGTGAAGAGCAATGATACAATATTCAAATTTAGTATATTATTTGGGACCACCACACAATGAAATTACAACCAAAAATTATGAAAAAATTCAGAAATAAAGAAGGAGTTCTGAGTTTTTATAAGCAAGGTAACTAAAGCCAAAGACAAAATTATTATTCCATTTTACATTTAGGAATATTATTGTGTATTGTAACTCTGCAATCAAATTTTTAACAGTACATTTATATGAGACTTTCCAATGGAAAAAAAAGTAAATATGAAACAAATTAAATTCCAAACTAAAGTGAAGTAAATTTTCAGACTGCAGAATTTGATTCAAGCAGCCCAAAAAGAAATTAATTATACCGATATTAGCTCCTGAGAATGGAGCAGTTTGTTTTCCTATGTAAATGTAAATGCCCCTTTATGCACTATCTTGCAAAGAAAACAAACAAGACACACAGAAGATGAGCTAAAAGGAAATACAATAGGTAGGGGTAAATAAATGGTTGCCTGAACAAACATAACATCCAAAGAAAATGAAGATATATGAATTAATGAACTGGCCAGGATTCAAGTGGACATCCAAATCCTATAATGAAAATCACCGTCACTTCATATAAATGAATAAGATCCATTAGGCCATGTTTTGATCACCTACACATAGAATTCACTACAATTTGCTCCATTCACAGCTACAAGGGCTACCCTATGATGCGGGGAGAAAAGTTAAAAAATTCGTGGTTGAAAAGCATCTTTCCATCATGAGTAGGCAGCAAAGTGGCATATATGTTTTGAAAGCTAAATATTTATCACATCACTAGCATGCAATGCATGAAAAGACAATTATTGGTTAGGAAGGATTCCTACGTTTGCCAATTAATAGCTTAACTTTCTCTCAGTTGAACCAAGTTTTTTTTTTTTTCTTTATAAATGAAGATAACTTTTTCTGATAAAGGAATATATGCTCTTCATACAACATCTATAAAATAAAGAAAATTAAAAGGAAAAAAATTATACATAATCCCACCAAAATTGAGAGATTTCCTGAGTCTTTTTTCTATGCATATGAGTATGTACACATATAAATTTATATTTTTGCACTTAATTATATACACTGTGTGTGAGATGTAGCTTTTTCTCTTATTATAAATATTTCCCCATTTTTAGGAAGAGAATGTGCTTAGTCATCCTAGTAAAACACGTAAGCATTGGTGCTGAATACATCACCTTTCAATTCAGGTTGCAGAAACCTTCCTGAGATCTCTAAAGAGGAGTAAAGTGGTCACGTTACCTTTCCATCATGAATCACTGATTATTGTTCTTACCTATCTCCTTTTCGGTATATGGAGTAAACAATTTCTGCACAACTGGTTCTAAATCTTCTCTTGCTGTTTTAGAAGACGTACAAGTCAAATGAACCAAATCTGTTTAAAAAAAAAATATTTTGAGTTCCTGCTTATCACAAATTTCACTGTGTACTCATATGAATTCAAGGCACTAAGCTGGTGCCATTGGGAATAGAGCCAAGCACGTCATGGCTCCTGTCTTTAAGAACTTTATAATCTAGTGATGGAGGACATGTAAAAACCATAACAATATGCTATGTGTGTTAAAAAAAATAGCGAAAATACATGTTAACTAATAACCAAGAGGGAGCACACTAAGACTCAAGACTAAGTACCAGTTGATGGTTATGTAAAACCAGCAAGGTAAAAAAGCTTAGGAAACCATTTATTCATAGAAAGAGCTTAAGCTATCCTTACAACATTCCCAACGAGGGTGGATAAAGGATTGCTAAGCAAAATATTGTATAAAAAAGACTAAAAGTGGACTATTTTTTTACCTAGAGAACACACAGTATTCTTCAGACAGAAAAACCCATTTATACAAGCTTTACTGACAAGTTAAAAACAAATCACCTATTCGTTATAGGGTTCTCTAAGAAAGTTTTTTGGGGAACACTGTTAGCTTAGTTGAATCATACTTAAAAGTCCATAATATGGCACAAGTCAAAACTTGTGTAATATTTTCAGGATTTCCAAATCACCTTGTTTTGCATTTACAGGTTCATGGGGCCCAGACCTCAGAGAATGTTTGGGTTAGAGAATACCATGTACAAAAAAGGTCCTTCACAGAAGTGAAATACTGTAGCCTAAGGCACTTAGAATTCCTAAAGGCCTACATACAAAGGGCAAAGGAAGGACAAAAGGTTCTACATACTGAAAGGAAGAACTAAGGGGATCCCTAAATGGGAGTAATTCTTCTGGTTTTGGAAAGGGTTTAGGGCAGAACAGAATTATGGCAGAAAGAATATATATTAGAGAAAAGTATAAGAACTGAGACATTCCTACTCCTAAAACACCAGTAGAGAAGTACATGCACTTCTTTTCTAAAGTTTACTTTAGGCTAGTAGACTTTTTAAAACCCCAGGAACATGGTTCAAAGTTTATCATGGAAGCGCAACATCAGAATAGAATTCTCTTTATTAAAATTAATTCCACATTCTACTCTAAAATATGTCTAAGCATAAAGGGACTCTTAATAACCATGTGAGCTAAAATCAAATTTTGTAGTATTTTTTTCCAGGTGCACCAAAGAAAGTGATATTCTAAGAAAGTTTCTGTCTTATGTATGGCCTAATAAAATATCTACCTTATTTAAGCAATGTTTTTATATGAATATAACAATGATTCCCATTGGTTCTGGGATATTGAAGGATATACAGTATTTCAATATATAACCTTTACAACAAAATTATTCCTAATGAACTTAAAATTTTCAAATGCAATATAACTTTGGTAGGGAGGGAGTTTAAAGTCCCTAGATAAATGCTGAATTAAACAGAGTATATAACTATAAAGGCAGAAATATCTGATGTAACACTTGAGAGAAACTGTCCTCTCTTATCCCACAGTCTCACAAAATACCAACGTTCATGTCAAAGTTCTCAATTTTCCAGTTCTTTCCTATTCAATTAACGTACACTAGGGGGAAAAGCAGATGAACATGAATATAAATAAAAAAGCATATTTTGAAAAATATCTTAACTGTAAACTACTAGTTCTATAAGTCAGGATATATAGAAGAAATACACCAGAGTAACTATATCCTTATGTTTCCTAACAGTGTAACAGAGTTCAGTTCATGGAATGCTAGCAAAAATTTCTAGTAATAAAGTCAGATTATCATCTTGTACTTAATAACTTTTATTATAATTCTTAGAAGGAAAAATTAAAGACATCTATACCTTGAATTCTAATACCTTGATTCTGCTTAGATGCTACTTTTTTTTTTTTGTGGTACACGGGCCTCTCACTGTTGTGGCCTCTCCCGTTGCGGAGCACAGGCTCCGGACGTGCAGGCTCAGCGGCCATGGCTCATGTGCCCAGCCACTCTGCAGCATGTGGGATCTTCCCGGACCGGGGCGCGAACCCGTGTCCCCTGCATAGGCAGGCGGACTCTCAACCACTGTGCCACCAGGGAATCCCGATGCTACATTATTAATTCATTTACAAATTTAAGGTATGAACAACTATTTTTTCTCCCTGCTTATTACCCGCTTTTCCTGTTATCTATGTCACTTCCTTGTATAGGTTACTCTGAATTTATTGCTTCTTTTCAAATCAGAGGTTGATTGTATTATTTTTTAAAAATTCAGATTATTTTCAAAATTGGTTTATTAATCTTCATACATCTCATAAGTCTTTAGCAAGGGCAAGTTTTAGAGTCAGTTTTCCTCTTAGTCGAATATAACTTTCACTTTTCAATAGGTGTTTAATAAACATTTGTGGCTAAAGACAATTCGCTTCCCTGCCATGAGCAGACATTAAGTACTCACAGTCTTAGGAAGACATACATGTGCATACAAATATACGTATGCATACACATGCATAGGGAAAATTTTACTAATTACTTATATGAAGTGTGGAAAAATTATCTGACTGACCAGGGTAGAAGTAAGGAAAGCATAAGTGGATAATCCTCAAATTACTTAAATCTGCCTGAGAAATGCTCACAGACGCTTTAAGATATATATTTAAAATTCTCAAAATAAAAGATTATCTAGAATTTACTATATGGTGAACTTGCATGTGTCAGACACTACTCTAAGCATGTCAGAAGTATTACTTCATTTTACCTGTGCAACAGCCAACTATTATCTTCATTTTACAGGAGAGAAAACAGAGGAACAGTGGAGTTAAGCAGATTTCCCAAAGTTATGCAACTACTAAAAGGAAGAGCTGGGGCTCGGAGTTGGAATTCAAGCCCACGTGGTCTGCCTCTAGAGTGCCTGCTCTTAGTCACTGAACAATGTTGTGTAACTGTAATAATCACCTGCAGAAGGTACAGCTAGTCACTTAAGGCAGCAACATTCAAACTAGGAGGTGTATAAAGATACAAGAGGACTTTCCACAAGGTAAATAACTCTAAGGGAGTCACTGTCCAGATGCTCAACCTCACCTCCTGCAATTTTATTAAGCAATACATTTCAAGAAATTTACTTTGTGTTTAATAATCCTTTATCAAAACTGTAATATATTTGATAGTTTGATTAATTTTGCACAAATATAATTGGATTAATTACTGAATCCAGAAGATATATTTTAAGCTTACTGTCTTCGGAAATTTTTAAAAAATCTATTTCTATTTATTATTTGAAGTGGGTGATAGTGGGTATCAAATATCTCTGATACTTAAATTCCATTGAATACATTTAAAGGGGTGATGTTACCATTTTACCATTACATACCAACATTTATAATGTTAGAAACTACACTCTTGGTGATTATTTGAATCTTATGACGAAAAACTGTATATGTCAAATTATACAAATCATACGTGTTCGAGGGGTACATGAGCAAAAAGGTTTCAATACCTTAAGGTGTTAACATAATTGCAAAACCATACCTATAGAACATGTTGTCATATTTCTACCAAAATTTAACTCTGTGTAAAATGCTCCTTTCTATTCTGTGACCTTAACTCCTCTCCACGAAACTAACTTGCTCAGTAAATGCTAAAAATGACCACAAATTAGATCATATGGGGCAACTGCTTTCCTAAAAGTATTACATTCATTAGTGCCAATTAACAACTATAACTGAGATTGTGGAAGATGCAATAGAACTGGAAACATTAGCCACTGGCATCATGTGAGATAATAACTGACTCAAAAAATGGTTTAAACCTTGACTCTACCTTTTATAAAGTATGCTCCTTTTACTTCATTTAGCAACTGCTTAAAGGCTTAACAGGCTAAAAGATGACAAAATGTGTTCTCTGTCACAATTCTTCTCTTGGCAATATATTTAGCTTTGTATTGGCATTAAAGAAACTGCAAAATATCCTATTCAATTTATAAGCTTTTGCACAGCAAAAGCTGTGCAAAACAAAATGAAAAGACAATCTACGGAATGGGAGAAAATATTTGCAAGTGATGTGACCAATAAGGGCTTAATTTCCAAAACATACAAAAAGTTACACAGCCCAATATCAAGAAACAAACAACCCAATCAAAAAATGGGCAGACCTAAATAGACATTTCTCCAAAGACGACATACATATGGCCAAAAGGCACATGAAAAATGCATAACATCATTAATTATTAGAGAAATGTGGGAGCACCTCAACATATAAGCCAAATGCTAACAGCCATAAAAGGGAAAATCGACAGTAACACAATAACAGTGGGGGGACTTTAACAACCTACTTACACCAATGGACAGATCATCCAGACAGAATATCAATAAGGAAACACAGGCCTTAAATGGCACATTAGACCAGATGGATTTAGTTGATATTTATAGAACATTCCATCTGAAAGCAGCAGAATACACTTTTTTCTCAAGTGCACGTGGAACAGTCTCGAGGAAGATCACATACTGGGCCACAAATCAAGCCTCAGTAAATTTAAGAAAACTGAAATCATGCCAAGCATCTTTTCTGACCACAACACTATGAGATTAGAAATAAACTACAGGAAGAAAAAACCTGTAAAAACACAAACACGTGGAGACTAAACAATATGTTACTAAACAACCAACGGTTCGCTGAAGAAATTAAAGAGGAAGTCAAAAAATACCTAGAAACAAATGACAACAAAAACACGACAATCCAAAACCTATGGGATGCAACAAAAGCAATTCTAAGAGGCAAGTTTACAGCAATACAATTGTACCTCAGGAAACAAGAAAAATCTCAAATAAACACCTAACCTTACACCATAAGCAACCAGAGAAAGAATAACAAACAAAACCCAAAGTTAGTAGAAGGAAAGCAATCATAAAGATCAGAGCAGAAATAAATGAAATAGAAATAAAGAAAACAACAGAAAAGATCAATGAAACTAAAAGCTGGTTCTTTGAGAAAATAAAATTGATAAAATTGATAAACCTTTAGCCAGACTCATCAAAAAAAATAAACA